AAATAAATCACTCTTGTGTTTGAAGCAAGCATTTTCTGATTCAACAGATACCGTTTTTTAGGGTACGTATGCTCTTTAGTTTTACATTTCCTTCTACTCTTACAGGGAATACGAAAACAATAACGAAAAGAATTTTAGATAATTAATTCTTCTCATTTTTACTCGCATACCTTTTTGCCTCTTTCTTTCTTGATTGTGGTTTCGAACAATATGTACTGTCAGGATACAACTGATCAGATCTGCCCATATGAAGCGGACTTAGTATATCAAAAAATTGTGATCACAAATTGCTTGCTTATTATAAAAAATGAACAAAAGAAGGGAGAAGGAGAGTAGGTATGCGGAGCTGGCACACTGCTTTCTCTCAAGCGTAGGTCCAGCAAACACCTGTCTGGTAAGCTGAATTCCCACATCTTCATTCCTAAGGAAAACTCGTCCTCGAGCTTGCTACTCGCGTAGTTTTCGATAGTTGACAATTGATAAAGTATGGTGGTTGGATATAGCATAGCATCAAATTTACTGTACGCTGGTGCAGAATCGGCGAACTGGTTCACAGTCACGACCTACCAGACTCGATGAAGCTCGCCTGCTGAAAAGCATTGATAAATAGTGTAATAGCGTTATGAGAAAAGGAGGAAAAGTGAGGGAATGTGTACGATCTTGGATATAGTCGTGTCGGGGTGGTGTTTCGCATACATGTAGGTTTTATGTAATATTTATTTACTCCATTCAGAGGTTTCATTCATGTATATTGGAATGTTATCTATGAATTGAGATGAGACAACAGGGGGTAAGCGGCATACATATGATATAAAGGATATAGAGATTATCATTTACTAAGTTAGTGAATAAAAATGTTGTCAAGTTTAAGCTGCTCTTGAATCATAACCTATGGCTAGATACAACTTTTTTTTGAATTTTTCTTTTATTGCCATATGAGGATACGATATTAGTATTTTCTTCAAAAGGCGACCTGGTTCACAGTCACGATTTATTCCCTGCTATGTTTATAAAACTAGATAGCCGCTCGTAAGACTAAATTAAAGAAATAAAACGTAAATATTTGATATGTTAGACACAACACGTAAAACTTTTTGAAAAAAAACGCACACTATTCGTTCAAGCCTCCATTGTTTCTACCGAGGGAACAAGCTTAGGGAGCGAGAGACGAAAGAGGAGGGAGGATTATCTCGATTTTTTTTCCGAATATTCAGGAAGGAGAAGAAGAAGAATCTTTTAAATTTTAGGTTAAACTACAGTCATCTCCTCGGGACCTCCATGTCTTGATCAGACGGATCAGATCCGCCGAATGTGTAGCGATAGTATATTGTCATATAAATGTGGTTGTAAATCGCTTATTTACTACAAAGTATTAACAGGTAAAAAGAGGAGGATAGCGG